TTTTCCAAAAATATTTCCCCGAGCAGAACAAGTGAAAGTTTATAATCAAATATTCGGGAAACTCGTCACTTTTGTCGCTGTGAATAATTTGGTTTATTCAAATTCCAGTTTCTTCACTTTTAGGTCAATATTTCTAAACCAAACTCTCTAAACAGAACAACGCGTTTTTTCTTATCGTTTTACTGTAAAATACTGAGAACAACGGCAAACTGAGAGTCTTATGTAAAAAAGTTAAAAGATGGATTTTACAAGAAAAGCCATCGTCTTTACAGTTTCGTCTTCTTTATCGCCTTTTTTGAGTACCCGTTTTACCTTTGAAATTGGGACAAAATCGAAACAAAGTTGTTTTGTTTTTTTTTTTCGTCGAAATTTAGGTTTCCTCCAAAAAAGATCAGAGAAAGCAAAAGCGTATAATCAATATTTGGAAAACTCGTCACCCTCATCGCTCTGCAATTTTTTTAAGTTTTTTTAAATTTTCCGGATTTTCCCCGGTTTTAGACCAAATAGTTTCAAGCAATCGTATGCGCAAAACCCATATGTTGATGGCTTTTTTTTGTTATATGTCATTCCGTCATCGGCCATGAGTTTTAACTCATTAACCAATGAGGTAAAACTTATTAACTCAGAAAGCCGCAACAACTCAAAAGCGCAACTCAACACAGTGTTACCCAGGCCTATGTGGAATGTACTTCTGGCTACCAGCGCAGCCAAACGCATTTTTTTGCGGCAAAATAATTATATAATTGGGAGTTTTAAAGCCAAAATTGGTTTATTACTGAATTATAGTCTAAAATACCCTGGTAATGACGCAAAAACTAAACGTTTGGGATCGAACAGTGGACTTTTTTCACTGTTGATTGTGAGGAGCTCCGCTTTCAAACTTGTCGAGTGTTTCTACAATTAATTATTGAAACTAGTAGTGCAAACCAGCTGAAACTAGAATTGGCTAATTTGATGACAACTGAAAAACGCAAGTTTTTTAAGGCTCCAAATTCGAATTCAACCAATTTTAGGTTTGCAGTATTTTGGATTAACTAGAAATTAAAAATTCTATAGTGTGATCACTTATCTTGAAGTGAAAGTTGAAAGAAATTCGCAAATCCAACTGAGTATGTTACAGCCAAGCGCTTTCGTCCATTTTTCAGGTCATCATCAGGATGTTTAGTCAACGAGTTCGGAGGCTCGTGCTGAGGATTTTTGTGGCTGATGAAAGAGATTTTAACCCATTTTAATTTGGCATGAAATCTGATGATTTTTTTAGCTGTGTTGAGGGATTTTTTATTCTTTTCCTAAATTTTATTTTATTAATTCAGGGTAAACGTTTTCGAATCCTGGACTGACCATACTTTCTTAAATAACGTACTCCAAAATGTACAAAATATTATTCTTCTACCTTTCTTGCTTCTGTAACATTTAATCTCCAAGTGAACACAAAAAGTGAATTTTAGTCTAAATTTTAAATCTAGTGGTTTTACCCGCACTTTGGGCTGAAAATGATCAGTTTTGGAGCAGAAATAGCCTTAAAAGCAAATATTTAAAGTCGACCAACCTTTAGCATTTTGCCTGAATATGCAACAATTGTTTTAGCATTCTTTATTCCTAAAACTGTTAAATGGATGTTTTAGCAATTGGTTTGCTTGATAGATTTTTTCAGATTAAATTTTTGACTTCAAGTTCAATTTTTTCAAATCATTGCCTCTAATTAAACCAATCAACCAAGTCTATTTTTAGGCGATTTTGCAGTCGATTTTCTTGGAACTCGGACAGATAATGTGTTGAAACTCGTCATACTTTTATCATAGGTGACGTCAGTGCTAAAAAATATTGAAATTCTTTGTTATATTCGTCATGTTTAGGGGATTATTATCGTTCAAACTGGTTCACCACAACTATCTTTGCGATACACAGAATTGTCATTTATAAAAAAGAATGGCTTGAGACTGAAGAGCCAACTGGGAAGTTGAAGTGTAGATAAAGTTAAAGAGAAAATCATCAACGCTTGCAAATAAAATGAATTTCTTGAAGAAATCAATCCGGCTAGAAGCAAGCTCCAAAATTAAGTAGGTATCAGTTAAAATTGAAACGTAGCAATTATAAAAAGACCTACAAACGAGCAGGAAAACTGGGGAAAATAACGATTCTTCTCGGTTTTGAGGTGAAGCGAGTTATGTGATATAGATCCAAAAATACAGTTCAATTTCCTCCTGTAAATAAACCGTTTCCTGATGGGAGGCTATAAATCGTTCAGGTGTTGGAAATGGAAATTGAACATTTATATTAAACGTGATTGCGTTTTGGCAACGGGCGTTAATAACAATGTTTTCCCGACTATTAAAACCGATCTTGGCAAACGTGTTTGTTGTTGCTGATGATGATGCACCGTACAGGTGTCTTTGAAATGTCCCCATGCAAGGTGATGTCGTAAAAATGCAAACCATTCATTAGCCGAATATCGGGATTTGAAGCCTCTAGTTGTCCTCACTTCGTTTCATAAAAATCTCTCACAACTTGGAGCAACTTGGCAATCCGATTAGACATTATCGTAAAAGTGCAAACACTTGCTCACCTAAAAATAGCGCACAGGTGACTTGGTGACATCAGCCCGAGCAAATATCGTCCTCCTATTTGCCTAATAATCCGTAGGTTTTAAAATATTCACGATGGTGTTTGAGTCATTCCTCAAGCTTTTTCATTAGACTGTATTTTACTGTTCATTGTTGGGCTTGAGCCAGTCGGCGACAATATAAAAAACAATTTTACTTTGTAGTGATTTGCACGATGGTGAGCGAAAGGTTGGTACAGTAGTTAAACTTTGCTTGAAAAACTATTTAAGAGTGTTCTGGCTTTGCTGCAGGGATCAATTAAAAATAAAAATCTCAAATTGTTGAGTTACATAACAGCACAACATACGCAGTTTTTTTAAGCTAAGCGCAATTATTGATGATTTATTTCAGTAGCGCTAACAATAAATCACTGACCCATATACATATGTATAATATTGCATTGTGTTTATAACAAAACGCTCCAAATTACATCAGGTTTACTAGGTTGACTCATTAACATAGGTGATGGAAGGTGAATGTTAATTCAATATTTTAATTAGAAACATTATGCAAAAAGCGTGTAAATGATTGCGGGACCGACGCTTGAAACTGATTCGTGTATTTTCAAACGTTATCTATAATCCCTGATAATTGCAACAATCGAATCTTTAAGAGTAAATATAACGAATGCGTTTTTATCTACGTACTGCTGCAAAACCGTGCAAATTTTGACTGGATTAATTACTTGAAGTATTTCGCTCAAAATTTATCAGTTTTTTTCTAAAATGTCGATCTGTAAATGAGATGGGAAAATTTTGTTGCTTAGTTGTTTTTTTTCCTTCAAACACGAGCACATGATTGTAGTTGAATTGTTAGAGAAAGACATTTAAAATCTGTTGACTGGAAAACAATTATGATAAAGTCTGAAGAAAGCAAGAATTTGACTAACTGTCTAAAGCGTCGTTTCTTTACTTTACCTTACGCTTCTACATTTGGAAATTACTCTTCAAGTTGGAGGGAAAAAATATCTCTGATCGGCTGATAATGGAAACTTCCCGTTTTCTCGTCAATTTTTTCAGAAATGAACCGTCTTTCCAAAGGAATATACACAGCTTTTAGCTTATATCTGATATATTTAAGCAAAATCTGGAGCCTTGCTTAAATGTTAACATTTTTGGAAAAATATAATAGAAGATCTGATGAATGCCACAACTGGGAAAGGAATATTATTATATTTTCACTTCCACAATTTTTTTCGACTTCGACACCATTGGGAAATTTTCAAAATTCACTTCACATTTCAAAAGTGCCTTCTTTTGCTAAAGATGTACAGCTCCAATCGTAGAAACGTTTGAAACTGACTTTTGAAGTTGGGAGTGAAAATATTTCGAATTTAATTAATTCTCTACAGCTTCTTCTTTAGAGCAAAAGCACATGGATGACCCTTGGAAAGGGCTGAATTCAAGAATATACATTACATTATATCGCACAATGTCTGCTGCTGTTTTTTAACTGAAACTGTTTTTTCGCTAGATTTTTTTATTAGAGCGCTGAGAACTTTTTAGACAGTCAAGTACTTTTCTCTACGAAAGCAGTCAAAGACTTTGTAGTTTTTTGCCATCAACTTGCTGTACTTTGCCTTGATTATTAAAATTATTGGAAAATACGTATAATATCTAATATCTAAAACAGCTATTCGAAATAAGTTTCCAAAGCCCTTTTTTTTGAGACCCAAAAAATTGGAAAAGCTAAAAACTGGAAATAATTTAAAGTTGGAAGACGATTCTTCGAAGGAAACTCCTCCGGTTGATCGAAAAGTTTGCTAGTGTTCCAAAAAATCTCTTAGAGACAATATTGCAGACTAATTATTGGAAATGTCGATTAAAGCATAAAAATCTAAACAATTAATACCAGAAGCTTTGAGAGTAGACCACACGCCATTCTTTGCCAAAATCTCTTTCTCTTCCAGCTTTGAAAAATATGGAATTTTTCCAAACGTTTGAATCTACGACAGTATTTTGCTCTAAAAAACTGTTAAAGTCGAAAAAAATTCGAAAGCTTTGGACCTAAATAAAGCACACTTGTGCGTTCAATTGAAAAGTCGACAAACTTATAACTGTAAATAGCGACAATATGTTGTCATGTGGGATGGCCAGACTATGTTTGAACACTTGGATTTTACGAGGGCAATAAAGGTATTTGCGTAAACCGTGATTCACCTTTGATAAACAATTAGAATTGTCGTGGGGAGTCTTGAGATGTTTTCACCGATTTTGCAGACTCAAGCACTGAATGTTTTGCGCCATTAATTTAACGTTTCCTTATCATTCGTAACTTGAATCCAAGTTGCCCGCGATTCGACACCGATGATGCAACTTCCAGAATGCACAAATTCTGATGCATAATCATATTTGAGGATTCGGGATATTGAATCTAATTGATGGGTTTTTTTTGCAGAAATGGCATCTACCCTTTAACGGCCTTTGGTGCAAAGCAGCCGCCGCTGGCCCGATCCAGAGCCATATCTCCGGAAATGGCGGAATCCGTAAAATCCGTGACCCCGGAACCGACTGACGTAGAAACTAGGAAAATTATTAATATGATGTGTGATGTTAAGTCCAAAGAAGAGAGCTGTGATTTACTGGTGAGTGCCATTTTCGAACCATCTTTGCCACTTTACAGCTTTATAAATTAGTTTCTTGATACGAAATTCTGGCAATTTTGGGCAAATTTTTGTGGTCCATTCTGGTCTGTTTGAAGTAATGTTAATGTAATGTTTAATGCTAATTACCAAAATCAGTCTTTTTATTTTCTTCACTGTCTGGTCTGTTCAAGAAGAAAAAAAATCACTGCAAGAACGTTGAGTTTTTGAGCCCACTCTGTAAATACACGAGATGGTCGAAAACCTGAAAAACCTTCTTTGCGATATGAAATCAACCTGAAACTGTGTCGTTGAAATAGAAAAAAAACGGGTTTTGTTCAAGTGAGAGCGTGTGGAACTTTCACCAATTTTGCATTGTTTCTTTTGCCACCCTGTAGCATCTTAGTCCGAAGCACTCAATTTGTGTTTAAAAAAAACACACTAAATGAAAAGGAATTGCACCAAATAACGCTTCAAACATAAAAAGTGTCGATTTCAGCGATCAAAATTGATCCAGTTCCAAAGTCAGTTGGCCAGTTGAAGCAAGAAAGTGATCTTTGAGATTGTTTTCCAAAGGCGAACTCAACAAAAGGTTTACTCGGATTTTTGTGCCTTTTTTGTGCTTATTTAGAAAGATATTGAGCATTTTACAACCAAAACTGCAAGCAAAAATTGGGATTAAATCTCAAGTCCGTTGTTGCTTTTATTGCTTTACAAACTTCAAAAGTGAAAAAAATTAAAACGTGTTATTAATTCCCACTAATATTTTCATTACCTGGCTTTTAAAGCGTAGTTCACTGAAAATGTTGAAGTAATGAACTTTATAACTTTTGGGTTTAGATGTTGGAAACCAAAGGCAAATGAAAAGTTTAATTAGAAACAATGGAAAAACGTACTGAAAAGTTTTTCTAGTTACGGTTAAACCACTTCATTGTCTTCTGTTCCTTAAGTTTCCGACTCCGTTTAGATCAGATTCAATTTAAAAATTGTAAAATAATAATTTCTAACCGAATATACGCAGAGGAATCGTAAGATTAAGAAACGACGCAAAAAACTTCAAATTCAGACCAAATAATTATTGAGTTGAAGAAATTGCAAACTGCAATTCAAGCTTCTGCTATTTTGTTCTTGATTTCTAATGCTTGAGTTGTTCAAGTCAAGTTTTTTTTTATGAAATATCATCATTTTTGTCACCTGCGATTCACGTGAAACTATTCACGATATTTCAAAAGAATTGATCGAAATTTAATGTAAACTTTCTCACAAGTGACGCAGTTTTCTTATCCAAAATCGATCATCAACAGCTTAGGCACTTCAAAGGGTTATTTATAGTAGCTTAAGTACATTATCAGGTTTGACGTCGATCTTGGCACTGTTTTTTTATTTGCTGATATCGCATGTTGGGCTAGGTATTTAATCGGCTAAAGTATGATTTTTGATTTGTCTCGATTTCTGAGATACTTAAAATCTTCCCTGAAATGAACATCGCCCATTATATTAAATTTGCGACTAACGATGTTTTTTCCTTCTATTTCAGTTGACTATTGTGTTACGTATGGATGATAAAATGAATAGGCAACTAACTAGCTGTATATCTCCTAGTGATAATCCCAAAGTGCTAGCACAAGAATTAGTCCACTACGGTTTTGTAAATGAAGTAAGTGTCCCGCTGTTGCTGTTTTTTTTTAATACCGATGACTTTATGCGAAAAACTGGCTCACTTATTTCTTTGTGTCATTTCCAGGTGGATCGTGATAAGATAGCATCGTTAATAGAAGAAGCCCTGCATAATTCGTCAGGCCACAGTAGTCCAGTGCACAAACACAATTACAACTCGTCGCTGCCAGACACTCTTCCTACCGAATCCACAATGGTAAGTAAAATTTCTTTAAAAACTCAGTTTGGACACGATGGAAAAACGGGTTTGCAAAGATCGCGCACAAACGCTCTGTGCTTCAGCTCAACAGTAGTTAATTTTTTGTTTGTTTGTGCCAGATTGCACCATTGCCAGCAGTCAACTCAATGGGATCTGCACAAGTGCCCATGCATTCTACCAGTTAGTGAATGGCAGAATGCAGGTTTTCACTGATAGAAAACACGTTTCTCAACGCATCGATTGACTCCTAAGAACCTGCACTCACATCCATCCCCTCTTGAAGGCAGTGTTTCTCAGTGAGGCTTGATTTGAGGTGCCTCCGGCAGCGCCACTCAACAATATCTCCCAGTCAACAATACATATAAGAGATGCAGGGATTATTTGGATAAAACTCGTTGAGTTAATTTTAACCGTGTGGGTGTCAGTAGACCTACGCAAGGCTTGTGATACTACTAATTTTGTTGGAGAGAACGGGGTATAAGCGAAAAGGTCCGGGTATCCGCCCCTTTTAAAACTGAAAATATGAAAAGACTGCGAATTCGATGTGGGACATTGCGCTAGTCATATTGACCATACGTTAATCTGTGATTGGAGTTCCGAAGACATGCTGACATTTAGCGGACATTTGGACGCCTCGCCAATAGAGAAAGGCTTTGGAATAGTTTCGCATGAAGTATTCTGAAGGTTTTGCTCAAGAGTGCAAGTTTAATGCATCGGATGTCATTCGGTTTCGGGCTCGCGCTATCTGTCGCGCCCCTAAACAGCAATCTTTGCATCGTAAATGTGAAATTGATAATTAATCTTTCCTTTTTATAAAAGTGCCATTGATGATTCGTATTTACTTACATTTTATTTAAGCCCTAAAGTAGCTAAGTTTCATTAAACACACATTTCTTTTAGTTGTTTGACTGATTTGGAAGGGGCCAATTTCGGGCAACAATCAATGCAATGTTGCACGGTTTTTAAGGCTTAAATTAATCTAGTTTAACTACTTATAGCATTTAATTTCATGTTTTTATAGTGGATAAGGTCTCAGCCAAGTGCATGATTTCTGTTCGGAATTGGCCCATTAAGTGAAAGTTAAAAGCAGCCTTTCTACACCCCAAAAAGCATCCATTCTTCGCTAAAATACTCGTCGCAATTACCTAAACGTTGATTTGCTCTTTGAGACTGATTATAGATTAATTTTGCAAAAAAAGCTGGAAGGGAGCGATGTAGGAGAAGCACTCCAGGAGTTTCAGAGCTTAGAACACCAAATGGCTATGGAAGTAACGTTTCAACACCAACTCAAGTGGTTTTGCTACGTAATTCAGAAATATCCTCTACCTCTTTTCTCGAAATAAACTTTAATAAATAGCTACTTCTTGATGAACACTATATTAGTTAATCTTTAATCCTTTGATTGATGATCTCAATCTCCAATTTAATCATTGATTGTTGCATTTTTCGCCATAATTCAAACAAAGTTGTGGTTTACAATTAAAACATAACACGATTGAGATCTGCGAATATAAACGGCAGCAAAAGTGCAAACATTCTTATCTCTAATTTAAATTAAAAATGTAAACTAAAACTTTCAAATAGGTAATTAATTTTCTAGTATTAGAATATTTTATTTGCGCATTTGAATGTTTGCTGCTAACTTTTAAGTAATTCAATTGCTTTTCATTCTTTTGTTTAATTATTATTCTTACGTGAGTTTGCTGATTTTTGAGGTAAGATAATATCGATCACACACTTTCAAATTATTGAGCTCCAAGACCAAATTTTCGTGTTTTAAGCTCCAGTGAAGGCCTATAAACGAACCAAAAGAAATGTGTCTCAAAACTGCAGTTTTATTTGAGTTTCCAGCGGTGATTCAACTTTGGTAAGGTGAAATCAAAAGTAATATTTAATTTTAATTATAGGAATTTGCGTTTTAATAGAAAAATAAATAAAAAATGGCTTCAACTACCCATAAGTAAATATCGTGAACTAGACATAATGTATAGGCATTAAATCTATTACTTTTGGAGTTGCATTATCAAACATCAATGCTGCTGTTGCTACTGCTTTTAATTAGCGACCGAATAAAACTTGTACATACAGTAATTATTGTAATTGTCTGAAAATGTAGATATAAAATTTTTTTATTGAAAACATGTAGAGACTAAAAAGTAATACAACTACTATTTATTATATCTTTGGGTTTATTTCACTCCTAATCCAAACTAGAATCGTATTCGATTTGCTGTTTTTTTTTTCTGTTAACATTTATAACACACTGAATTCTTCTTTAGAAAAACAGGTCGTTAGCTGAAAAGCTTCTTTTGCCAACGTTGAAATCTTCGGCTTTGCGACTGTGCACTAAGCCGATTAAATCTGATTCGGAATAATATCTTGTTGAATTTGGCTCTGAAAAGCTGATCGTTTTGATGGAATGTTTGGCGAAAACGTCGGATTTGCATTTCCGGATGTTTTGTCTTAGTGAAACCCCAATATCGATGAACATTTTCTTGGGGAAACTAACTGTTCTGTCATCGGTCTTCTGCGAAGCCCCTGAATAATGTTTTTAAATGTAGTTCGCTCACCGTTTGCTGCCAACAACTAGATTCTTGGAAACTCACCCGCTATTTCGTTGTCATAGGCAGGTGGAGGAGATTGGGGTAGCCTCAAGGGTGAAGTTTGGCAACTTCTGCTAGTGCTGGAACTTCTTGATGCCTGATTACTGCTATTTGGATGGGGGGATTTTTCAGACCCAGTTGCGGCGAAAGAAGTTGATTGGGACGGTTTTGGGACTACCTGAGAGTGTCTGAAGGGCGAAGAACGTATTCTTGTTGCGCCTCATGGGGACTATGATAAATTTACTGGCCTGTTCTTTTGTCGGCTGCCGCAGGCAACTTTTCTGATATACTGGAAAACGTCGGAGTATTCTGGAGGATGCTCGTAGTCGGGAGGCTCGTCTGCAATGATTATGTCCTCCTCTATCTCGCCTACGCCCTCCTCTGCATCAAGGTAATTTAACAGTAGTTTTCCGCACTGGCATTAGTTTAGTTTTTAGCGCGTTTACCCAAAATAGCGTGAATTGTCTCAATGTGGTCTTGGATTTGGCGGTGGTGCCTGGTTCGCATGTTCACCCTGTATAGCAGCAAAGTCATGGCAATAATAATCCCAATTAATCCTATAACCAAGTATGTTCAATGTGACTCGATATTTTTTATAATCTGGCACTAATCTTACCAAAAGTGCATAGAAGAAATACTGCAGTGGCCATCGTCAAGTCTGAATAAGGTTCCGCTTTTGGGAATCGAAAATTGGGTATTTTCGAAAAATCCCTGTGGTCCTTGGGATCTGCAGTGGGATTTTAAAGTTTTATTGCGACAATTTAAGGTAAATTCGATACAAAATCACTGTAGATAAGGAATTCGTTTTTCATAAGAACACGGGCTCTTATTTAGAAACTAGGGCTCGGAATTTTTTAAAATCTGATTCGAATATTCGTTTAGTGGTTTATTCGAATAGTAAAATTATTCGAATACTCGAATATCTAACGAATATTCGAATAATCGAGTCATTCGAGATTCGAGTATTTCTATTCTCTTATTTAGAAACTAGGGCTCGGAATTTTTAAAAATCTGATATTCGAATATTCGTTTAGTGGTTTATTCGAATAGCAAAATTATTCGAATACTCGAATATCTAACGAATATTCGAATAATCGAGTCATTCGAGATTCGAATATTCGAGTATTTCTATTCTCTTATTTAGAAACTAGGGCTCGGAATTTTTAAAAATCTGATATTCGAATATTCGTTTAGTGGTTTATTCGAATAGCAAAATTATTCGAATACTCGAATATCTAACGAATATTCGAATAATCGAGTCATTCGAGATTCGAATATTCGAGTATTCGAATATTCGAGTATTTCTATTCGTATTCGTTACATATTCGAGTGTTCGTTTTCCGTTCACCGTTTTCCAAGAAGAAAAATAGTTATCTCATATCATTTTTGGCAACTAGCCGCAACGGATAAAAAAGTGCCTTTGTCGGCACATTAATTGTAACACAGCGCAAAAGATAATGACGCGTATCACCAGAACACAGAGACGTAATTTTACATTCATTTGCAGGAGAGTAAATATGATTATTTTCATTTGCTTGTAAATATATGGGTATTTGTTTAAATGCTTGTAGAATATGAATAATTTATTTTATAAAAGTATACAAAGTGCATATAAAGATATTTGCCTACCTAGTGAGTTTGATAATGTTGGTGTATTCGAGTATTCGAGTATTTGAATATTCGAATATTCGGATATTCGAATATTGGAGTATTCGAATATTCGAATATTCGAGTTATGATTACACATAATTATTCGCTTTTCGAATATTCGAATACTCGAATTATTCGAGTTTGATTCCGAGCCCTATTAGAAACACAAAAAGCTAGTAAAACTGCGTAAAAAATGGTCTTTGCCCACCTTCAGAACATGTGGGCGATTCATCGCTGTTATCACCGCAGTGGTCAAAACCATCGCAGTTTAACAAAGCGGAAATGCATCGCATATTTTGGCACAAGAAGTCTAATCCAGAAAAGCAATCTGGAATCAATGTACAATAAAAATGTTCCTCTTCCGTTGAGGCATTTTCAAATCCAGCAAGATGTACCTTTGTAATTAAAAGCCGCATAAACGATGGCAACGCGGGATTCTGCCTTGAAAAGGCCCCTCAGACTAACGTAAAAACCTTCTTTAATCGACACTACATGTTCGGTTTTGGTCGATTTTTCGAAAGCGCCTGGCGGATATTTGAGGGTTTCTATAACAGCCTCATTCGATGTCACTCCCTTGCGCATTATCAATTTTGTTGGGCCAGCTGAAGGAAAAACAACTATGCTCCCTGGTCAGGTTGCAAGATCAACTCACCAAAGTCCGTAAATTTTACCACTTTAACATACAGATGGGTTTTGCGGTGCAAAAAGCTGCTGGGAATCTGTATGATCCAGAGACAGTCGTAGAACTTCGGTCCTTCCACCGTCATGTTCATCATGGTTATTCCTCCTCCCAGATTATTCACTTGGCCTCCACAATCTGGATGAAATTGATAGATTTTTTGGATGGGTAGATTTCAGGGACTTACCAGTATTCGACCTCATCACTAGGTCATCCAAGTTGCCCAATGTGAACCCATACGAGGCTTTAAAGCCGAGGTTCGAAGCCCCATTGGCATAAAACCGCACTACCAAGCTCGGTCCAGATGAAACTATAACGGGCGGCCGAAAAATGTTGCCGGAGATCACGTAGAGGCGTTGACCATTCCAGTCGAAGAACTTTGAAATAACGTTAACCAAAAAACTATTGGAGATATCCAAATGATGGCAAAGTTACCTCCAAGATTGAGGAATAGCCCATGAGGAAATCGGTAAAAATCAAATTGATGCGGCAGGGTATTTTCGAATGGCACTTGATAACATATTCAGTGCTTAAATCGGCTGGGTATAGCTGAGGAAAGAATGGGGACGTGATGAACTGGCTGTTGTTGTTCATGCGGCTCATTGTCGGAAAGCCGTCGAAGACCAGTTGGTTTCCTAAGAGGAGTGAAAGCTTCACTATTTTAACACCTCACGCTTCAAACCTACTTATGGCGGAAAATTCCAGGGTAAAGGCATGCCCAAAATCTCCCAGGAAATAAAAAGTCAGATGTGCGGATCTGGTTCTGGAAAAATAGGCCACTTCCGTGGCCTTATTCTGGATGTATCGGCTACAAAAGCGTTCCTCAGAGGGACTTTCCAACGACGGTTCATAAACCAGAACGTAGTCACATCCACAGCCAGCAGCCACCCTCGATTGAGGACAACTTCTTGAAGCGTTTACATATCTACAACATGAATCTACTATTCTATCTGAATGATGAAGCTGTTGACGAACTGTGATTGTTTTTTAAATTAATGAAATTTTTATTTAACTATCTGTTATTTTAGAAAAACTGATGATGGTGGAAAAATACACCGAAACGTATTTTAATTGATAAATAGAGACAATAAATGACTGAAACCCAGGAATTAATTTTCAGTCAGGAAAGTATGTACAATGAAGGATAATGCTTGGGAGTATGGCATGGCGGATCGTGTGGAGGAATGTGTTTTAAGGAAGAGATATGGAAAACTGAAGGCAAAGTGGCAAGAGAAAAGAACCGGAAAAACTTTCTGACCAGATGCAAGAACCTTGCCGTCACACCAAAATTTATACAGGTGAGGAGAAGGGAATTTAATTTTGGGAACGGACAGAATCAAATAAAATATTTGAAAATCTTGGACGTATTCTATATGCAATGTTTAAATATA